GAGGGGCAGTCAGAGGTGGAGGCTACCTTCCTGCACATGGGCCGCACCATGAAGGAGGACCTGGAGGCCGTGGTGGCTCGGCTGCGGCCGCTGTTCCCGGCGGAATTCGGTGTGGTGGCCACCTACGCACGCAGCTACCACAAGCACTTCGCAGCACACGCAGCCGCCCTGGCGCAGTTTGAGCTGTGTGAGCGCGATGCCTACCTGCTGCTGCTCTGGGTGCAGAACCTTTACCCCAAGTGAGCTGTGGGGCGTGGGCTGCGGGGCACGGGATGGGCTGACCACGCAGGGCGGGAGGCTGAGGCGGGAAGATCACCTGGAGTTCACAGGCAGCCAGAGGTACACAGTCATTGTCTCAGAAAACAAAACAAAACCGGAGGAGGGACTGAGCCCTGCATCACAGAGTGGGGATGTGGGTCTCCTGTTCATTTCCTGGGCCCTAGCCACAGTTTGCAGTGGGGGAAACTGAGGCACAGAGACTGGTTTCATTTGTGAGGTTCCAGAAGGAGCAGGCGATACAGAGGAAGCAGGGCCGTGGCAGAAGTGCCCTGGCATAGGGAGGCCAGAGCAGGGGTCCTGGGAGAAACCCAGGCCTGCCTGAGTCAGAGCCAGCATCCCTACACCGAAGACAGAGTCAGGCAGGAGAGGGGATGGGCAGCAGGAAAGGAGGTAGGCAGGAGGGCAAGGTTGAGCTGTCCTGTGTGTTGGGCTGACTTAGCAGCCCCAGGCAGCAAGGCCAGTAGAGGCACCGTGGACAAGGTCACATCAGAGAGCCCTGTGTGCAGGTTGCCTGTGAGCCCATGGAGGTTCTGTCCACTGAGGAGCTCCAGGCAGTGCCAAAGGAGGGCAGCCAGTGCCCAGCTTGGCCCAGCCTCAGATGCCCTGGTCGGCCAGGACTCCCCATCCCTGCATGTGCCTGTGGTTCATCCCAGCTGTAGGGGAGAGACTGGCACTGCAGTGTGGGGTGCTGGAGGCCAGGGGCTCTCACTGAGGAGTGTCAGTCTGCAGGAGGGAGGCCCAGGGTGTAGGCAGTGTAAGCAGGAGCTGAGGGTCCTGGGGACTGCTGGTGCTGACGGGGCAGCCTCTGGCAGGAGGCCAGGGCACAGCGGAGTGGCCAGTGAAAAGTGGTCCCAGGGAGACGGCATGGCCATAAACCAGCCGTGCTGGCTGGTCCTGCCTCACCAGGAAATGCTGGGTGCTTGGACCTCTGCCTGTCGGCCTTCCTGTCCGATTGACCTGGGATCTCCCAGTGCCTGGGGGGAGCAAAGCAGGAAACTGAGTCCAGCCTGGGGGTGGAGTCCGGGGAGGCACTGTTGAGGCTGCTGTGGCCAGAAGTGTGGGGAACAGAGGGCACAGCTGCATCCAGCCTGGGTGGGGACCCAGAGAGGGTCATTCTTAAACTTCTAGGCAGACAAAGGCCCCTTAGGAAGTGCCGGGGCTGGGCAGGTTCCCCCGGGGGCCTGGGACCCTGCAGAGGCATTGAGAAAGTGGGCTGAGATAGCTCTACAGGCAGTCAGGCGCTGCCCTTCCTGTGCAGAGGCGCCTGGGCAGCGGGGTAACGGCAGGCTGAGGTGCTCGATCTGCGTGAGGAGCAGGCTCCAATGGGAAGATCCGACTTAAAGGTGGCTCAGGCAGCTGCAGGGGGTCCTTCAGGGTCAAGGCTGTGGTAGGAGGCAGGGAGGAAGCTCCTCTGGTGAGCCAGGCCCAAGATGGTGGTGGCACTGCCCAGCGGGGGCAGGGATAGCCTCGGGGCTTAGGTTTGGGGGCCTTTTCTGTTACTTATTTACTAATTTTTGGGACGGGACCTCGTTATATACTTCTAGCTGTCCATGGACTCCCTGTATAACCCAGGCTGGCCTTGGTCCTTGGTCTCCTGCGTGCCTGGTTACAGTTGTACACTTCCACCCTGGCTTTGGGTAGCTCTTTTAGAGTGGGAGTGGAAGGAGTAAGACGAGGTGTGGCAATTCTGGGGTTTAGGCCCGAAAGGCCTAGACTGGACCCATGGTTTAACACGGGAGACAAGTGGAGAGGGGGAGGGTGCTGAGGTGCTTGCCACCCGGGCACATTTCCCTCACACCAGCCCCTTTGCCGCAGTGACATCCTCAGGAGCCCCAAGCTGGCGGCTGAGCTGCAGGGTATGAGCCTCGGGAGCCTACTGCCCCCCAAGCAAATCCGGCTGCTGGAGGCCACATTCCTGTCCAATGAGGTGGTGAGTCCTGGACTGGGAGCTGGAGGTGGTGAGGCCTGGGGATGACAGGACACTGGCAGGGTGATCAGGGCACCGACTGACTCCCCACCCACCCCAGGCCAACGTGAAGGAGCTGGCAGCCCGTGCCCTGGAGCTGGAGTCACAGAGCTGGGCCCAGGATGTGGCTCCACAGAAGCTGGACAGCCACTGCCACAGCGAGCTGGCCATCGACGTCATGCAGGTACTGTGTCTGCTCCCCCCCATGCAGGCACAGGACACCGGTGTGCAGCCGGAAGGCGCACCCACCCACTCCCCATGCCCACGCCCAGCCCCAGTGCCCCTGCCCTGCCCTGCTCACCCACCACCCCTGGCAGATCGTCTCCCAGGGCCAGGCCAAGGCCGAGAACATCACCCCCGACTTGGGCCTGCAGATCAAGCAAATGCTGCTGATGGAGCTGGCCACCTTCCTGAGAAGGTGGGTGTGCCAGGGCCCCTTTAGCCACTTCTCAGGGCTGTGGCCCTCCTGCCTCCCTGGGATGACAGCTAAGGCAGCCTGTGCCCAGCCCACCCTTGGGCACTGAGAGCCACCAGGAATTAGTATGGGTGCATCCTGTCTCCACCTGCATCTGCAGAGCCCCCAGAAGAGCAGTCCCTAGCTTCAGGGCCCCTGCCACGCCTTCCACAGCAACCCGTCTGTGCCTCAGTAAACTTGGTGACTCCTCTCTAAAGACAGCACAGCGCCCTCTGGTCACCCAGATGCAGGGGGTTGGGCGGGAAGGGGTGGGAGTGGCCAGGGACAGCAGCAACAAGGGAGGACAGTGCACTAATCCCAAGGAGGGTGGCACAGGAGGCAGCTGTGGTCACGGTGTCCGTGCTAGCCCTGAAAGGAGACCTTCGGTTTCACCAGCTACCAGCGCACCTTTGATGAATTTCTGGAGAGAGGCAAACAGCTGCGAAATTACAGGGCCAATGTTATCGCCAACATCAACAATTGCCTGTCCTTCTGGTGAGAGTCTGGGCTGGCTTACAGAGAGCTGGGGCTGGAGGTGGAGCGAGGAGGAGCCACAGATGTGATTCCAAAGCTAGCAAGGCTGTAGGAAAGGGCCTGGCCTAGCAGCTGCAGCATGTGCTGAGGGTGACTCGCTGGTTAGTCCATCCTCACGGCAGCAGTGTGCAGGGCCCAGTGATCTGCGGAGTACACGAACCTGGGGTGGCAGGGGAATGGCCTGTCCTCAAGCAGAAAGTGAGGGGCTGCAGGTGTGTGCTGGGCCAGGGGCTTGGAAGAGAGGACTTAGATATGATTCCACAGGGAATGGAGAGCCCGTGGGTGCTCCAGAGTGAAGAAATAGTTTTGGACAACCTGTCCAGGGTGTCCTGTGTGTGGGGCTGCAGGCTGGGCAGGCTTGTGTGACCTCCTTGTGCCCACCACCTAGGACATCCATGGAGCAGAACTGGCAGATACTGCAGGACCCCCGGAGCCACCTGCTGGACCCCCTGAGTGAAATCAAGAGCCATGGTTTTGACGTCCTGCTCCAGAGCCTGTTCATGGACCTGAAGGTGGCTGGAGCCCAGCATGGGAGGGAGGGCACAGAGGGGCCTCAGGAGGCCTGCAGAAGCCTCAGTGCCCTCCCCCAATCTGGACTCCCAGACCATCCCTCAGGCCCCCCAGCTCCGGGGCTCAGGGCTATGGCAGTGGTGATCACCTATCTTAGGGGTCCAAGAAATCTGCAGAGGGGATGCTGGGGGCGCCCCTTGAAATACAAAGGAGGGATTTACTGCCTAGTGCCCTTGGGAGACCTGGTGGGTGGTGAAGGCCGGTGCAGTGACCCTTGGTGACTCGGCACAGTCTCCCAGGTCCAGCCCAGCAGAAGGCCTTGTGTAAGCAGGGATTTATTTATTTTAAGAGGGAGGCAGTGGAAAGGGCCCCAGGGCTGCAGACATGCGGGTGTGGCTCCTGGGCTACCGCTGGATGACCTTGGAGAAGGGTGCACACACTCTGCCTCCACTTCCTGTCTGGGAGAACATGGCCTGCCTTCTGCCCCGGTTCCTGGGAGGCCTTGAGTCCCCAGCCCGACCGTGGGGCATCTGTGTTAGCGTGAGGGTGTCAGCCTGGAGCCTTCCTCCCAGGGATTGACTAGACATCCTGCCTCTCCTGTCTCAGCTTCTGTTCAAGAGGTTCACGAAGACTCGCTGGGCAGCGCCTGCTGAGACCCTGGAGGAAATCCTCGCCACCGTGGGTGGACGGCTGCCAGAGTTCTGGGAACTGCAGGACCGCTTCCGGGAGGTGAAGAGCCCCTCACCCCACACCCACGCTCTCTGGCTTCTGCCCTCCCCGGAGTCCCAGCTCAGGGCCCCAGGGAGGTGGTGAGCTCCCTGTCAGCAGCTGGCTCATGCCACCCTGACACTGCCACAGGAGCTCATGGAGGCCGTGCACCTGCAGCTGGTGAAGGAATATATCACCCGCCTGAGCAAGCGCCAAGTGGTCCTCAGGACGGCAGAGCAGCAGCAGCAGCTGGCAAGCCACATCCTGGCCAACGCCCACGCTATCCAGCTCTTCTGCACACAAAACGTGAGCCTGCCACCCCCAGCCCGCAGCCTCAGGTCTCTGCAGGCCCAAGTGGTTACCACCCAGAGCCCAAAGGCCCTCCGGGCAGCCCAGCCTCCTGCAGCCTGACCTGTTTTCAGGGCTCCCCTGCGAGCTGGCTGCACCCTGCCCTCCCCACACTGGCAGAGATCATCCGCCTGCAAGACCCCAGCGCCATCAAAATGGAGGTAGCCACCTACGCCACGTCATATCCTGACTTTAGGTGAGAACCAGGGGCTGTGCCCACCATGGACTCCCATCAGCCCAGCTCTGCTGTTTCTCCAAGACACAGTTGTACGTGAGTCCTCGGTATGGCCCACCAGGCTGCCAGGGTGCATCTTGTCTTACAGAGAGCGGAAGGATATGTCCCGGGCAACACAGGCAGTCAGCGGCGGGGCTCAAGGCAACACAGGTTGTCAGTCAGTGGCACAGCCGAGCTCAGAGCCAAGCTGTATGGGTCCCCAGTGCGTGTGCTCAGCCATACATGATGCTGCCACTCAGAGAGGCAGCAGAGAGCCTGGGTCCTCGGTGTCAGGGCCTGTGGGGACTTGGATTTACACACTGGGCCCTGGGCCCCAATTTGGGGTAGAGGCCTACCCCTGGCTGAGGGCCGGGTGAGCCGTTTGCATTGATTCTGTCTGACACAGCAGGGAGTTTGATAGGGCCTCGGCTGGGGCTAATCTGCTTGTCCTGTGCAGCCCCTGGCTGAGCCCCGTCCAGTCCATCTGTCAATCCGTACAAGCACCCATCTCCCCATCTATTCAGCTACCTATGGTTATCTACCTATCCATCCATCCAGACACCATCTGCTGATCGACCTATCTGTCCACGTGTCTATCCACTCATGCATCCATCCATCTGCCTATCTTTTCATCCATGCATTGCAGTGGTCACCGCTGCCCAGTGTTAGGCTGTAGAGGCACAGGCTTCCTGCCCCTCTGGCTGTATTACGTTGGAAGTAGCAGAGCTTGGCTGAGTTCACTCCCAGGCAAAGTTAGCTGACTCCAATTAAATCCTCCCTTCTGAATTAACCGTGTGTTCTCTTCCACACAAATATGCTGTGCCCTCACTCTCCAGTCCTGCCCTCTTGATACTTGTTATCAGCAGTGTCCTGAGGCCTGCCCAGATCCCCCCTCCCACACTTGTACTGAGTAAACACTGGATGTCCCTGGAGTCCTTTGTGTTTGCTGCCCAGAGTAGCTTAGATCAGCCCAAGACTCAGCTTCTCTCTGCTTGTGTTTCTCTTAATCCCACTTTCCTATCTGGAGGACGTTGTACTGGAGGCCATTGTGCTGGAGGCCAGGACAACTGCAGGGGTCTCTGACAACTCCCATACCCTTTCCTATAACCCATCTACCCATTCACCTACTCACTCACCCACCTATCTACCCTCTTATGCGTTTACTCACCACGACCCATCTCTCCATCCATCCAGCCATCTGCTTACCCACCCTGTCTAGCTCTCTCTCTCCCACCTCTGCATCCATCTGTCCATCCTTCCACCCACTCACCCAATGCTTATTTGGCAGCCTGCTGGGTACCAGGCTGCACAGGCACTGGGATGAAATGGAGAACAAGACAGACCAGGTCCTGTGCCCCTCACATGGCTTCCAGCCTATCAAAGGCTGGCAGCAGTGAGGTGCTCAGGCAGAGAACCAGGGTGGTTGCCCGTTGCAGAGTTTAACAGGAAGTGATTGCTGCAGAGGTGGGAAACCTTCCGGGGAGGTGACTTGTTAGCTGAAAGCTGGCCAACGGGCAGGCACCATGACAGAAGTGGCCAGCAAAGGTGGGGCAGGAGTGGGTGAGGCCCCAGTGGGCAGAGAGGCTTTGGCCCTGTGACTGGAGCTGGGAAGGCTGTGTGTGACGTGCTGGGGAGCAGCTGGCTGACAGGGTGCTCTTCTCCTTGCCAGCAAAGGCCACCTGAGTGCCATCCTGGCCATCAAGGGCAACCTATCAAGCAGCGATGCCAAGAGCATCCGGAACATCCTGGACATTGACACGGGCGTGCCGGAGCCTGCCAGGGCCCTGTTTTCACTGATAAAGGTTGGGTAGCTTTCCCTGCACTCCCACCTGCTTGCGAGCGCCCAGTGAGCAGGTTGCCCACCCCTTTGGGAGCTGCCCAGACTGGCACTGACTCCGGGACCTCTCATGGGCCTCCAGCGTTCCCTTCTGCCTCTGCCCAGCCCAGGTCTAGGACAGGCCCTGTGCCGCTGGGCCCAGCAGAGCCCTGTCTGTGTGCGTCGGGTGGAACAAGAGTGCACCCAAGGAGCTGTCTGGAAGGGAGCGTAGTTGGTGCACACAGGGGGTACCTGGGGTGGGGAGGCTACAGCTGGGGCCAGGTGTCCTGGGCCAGCCCTGCCCTCTCCAGTCTGGCTCCCAGAGCCTCCTGATGGGCGAGGCTTGGTGCCCCTTCTGGCTCGATAGGCCCAGGCCCAGCCTCACTCACCTAGTGCCCTTGGGCCAGACCGCTGTGAACTGGGTGCTGCAGGCTTGGCCTCAGCCAGAACTGGAAAAAAGCTCATCCAGGCTTGGCGGGGCACGTGGGCAGCATCAGATGCACTGCAGAGTCCAGGGGCCCGGACCACAGCCCGCCTGCCTCTCCTGGGGCTTCCCCAAGTGGGTCCCACTGCAGCTGAGCCTTGCAGGTGCACCTGTCCCTGCCTCCTCTGATGTTCCTTGGCCACCACATCCATTTCCACTCCTCCCCTCTCCATTTTGGGGACCCTTGTGCCAATGCTGAGCTCACCTAGAGAGATGCCTCGATCTCCTCCATTTTAGGATGTGGATGTCTTTGGGGATCCTTACTCTGCTTGCCCCAGCTGCACTCAGCCCCTGCCCAGGCACAGGGCCCCATTCTGCCCGAGGGAATCGAATCCAGTTTCCGTGCCAGGCCTCTGCCACCTGGAAAGCACTGCCCCTGCCTGGGCCTGACAATGCTGGGACCCAGGCCGACCAAGCCTCCCTGTGCCCCTGGGTGTGTGGAGCTGGGGCTCAGAGCCAGCTCTGTGGAGTGGGTCCCCTTCCAGGTCCTGCCTTACCCAACCAGAGCCACACACACCTGCAACCCTCAGCTCCTGGCAGCCTAGTAAGATGTGGTCTTAAAATTGTTGAGGCGGTGCTGTGTAGCTGAGTGGAATCACACAAGCTTGCATCCCTGGCTACATCCCCGCTCTTGCAAAAAAGGAAAAGTGGCTGGGAGCTGGACAGTGCAAGGGGTGCACTAAGGGTTTTGTATGTTTGTAGGAGTTGCCTTGTGATGTTATTATTATTTTTTATTGTATGCTTTTGTATGTAAAAAATCTGAGTTTTTATAGTGTGATATAAAAAGCTATTTTCAAATGTTAGTGTGGAGTGGTTTCTTTTGGGAGCCGAAAACTTGAGGTGGGATGGGGTGCTCTTGGGGTTTGGGCAAACTGTTACCAGCCCGCCTCAGTACCTCCTGTGGTCCCTCTGGCAACACCCCCAGCCTCCTCCCATGAGCTGAGCACTTTAAATTGGGGATCATACTGGGCATGGTGTCACAGACCTCAGGAGGCTGAGGCAGGAGGATTGCCTCGAGTTGGAGGCCAGCTTGGGCTGCACAGCAAGATCTTGTCTCAAAAAAAGGGGGAGGGTCACAAATGGGATCTCCCTTAGTCCCCTTCACTGAGGATGTGGGGTGGAGGGAAGGAAGGAAGGGTGTGGACTCCCAACCATCTCAACTCCGTGCAGGCCCCACCAGACTCCATTTCCAGAACTGACCTGGAAGCTGCACTCCGTCCTGGGGACAGGACTGAGGGCAGGACTGAGACAGCCCCTGCTCTGTAGCCAGGAGGAGCCCCTCCGGCCGGACGCTGGAGCTGGCAGGAGCTTTCTGCGACCCTCAGTACCAGGTTCTAGCTGCTATGACCCTCTGCAGTGCCGGCCTGTTTCCCGCTGGCTCCTGCTGGAGGTTCAGTGCCCCGTTCCCCCTGGGCAAGCACAAGAGCCCAGAATCAAGGACCAGAGGAGTCTGTGGGTGGACACTCACCAACCTCCACCTGGCAGGGATCCCAGAGGGTGACAGTCCCCACTGCTCCCGCCCGGGTCACCAGCCAGATTTGCCTGAGTGGTGAGGCGAGGAGAGCAGTACCAGAGGCCACAGCCCTCCCGTGATGACAGCATCAGCCCTCGCTCTCCCATCCCATCGGGGTGGGGAGAAGTGGGAGGCATCCGGGTTCCCTGGGCAGCACAGGACATGTGGAGGAAGTGGGTGGTCACTGAAGCCCAAGTGCAGGAGGTGAGGGGGTAGGGGCACCGGTAGAGATGAGGGGGCAATTCCAGCTGTGGCTCTGGGGGCTCCCTGAGATGGGGCCAGTTGGCCAAGGCCCCAAACTTGAAGAGCTGAAGCTTGGCTGAGAGTGTGGAGGCCCCAGGGCCCTGGAGGCCAGGGTGCTGCAGAGCAGGGCCTGAGTGGGGGCAGCGACAGGCAGTGAGTGAGGCTGGCCAGGCCTGGGCTGCCTCCTTTGTAGGGTTGGGTGAGGGTGAAGCAGCTCGGACTCCGACATGCTGGGGAGGTGACCTCCAGGCTCTGTGAGAGACCCCAGCCGGGCAGTGGTGAGGCCTGGCAGGGAAGAGGGGCCACCTGGGGTCTGAGTCTGTGGCAGGGGCATATAATTAACTCATTGTTTTTGGTTGAGACAGGGTCTCCCTATGTAGGTCATCATGACCTTGAACTCACTGTGTAGCTCAGGCCGGCCTGGAGTGATCTTCCTGCCTCAGCCTCCCAAACACCAGGATTACAGGCTGAACCACCAAGCCAGGTTTATCATTAACACTTTATAACTGAGGAAATAAAGCCACGGTTGCCGGAAACTGGAGGGGAATGTGAGATGTGGTGTCTTGGGTGTGAGAGTCTGGCCTTGACCATCCATCCTGATAGGCTTTTTTTTTTTTTTTTTTTGCCTGGGACAGAACCCAGGGCCATACACATGCTAGGCAAGCACTCAGCACAGAGCTGGGTCCCTAGCCTGAGATTTCTGTGGTCAGACTGTGTGCTTAGGTACAGCTGGGAGTCAGAAGTCACTTATTATGAGCAGGGAGGGCAGGGGCCAGGCCACAGGGAGGGTGGAGGATGGGGGTCCTGGGGTGAGCAGAGAAGAATATGAGGGCGCGGTCCCAGGACATGGGAGGATAGGACGGGAAGCTCAGGTCCCTTGTCTGGAGGTCAGAGAGATGCTGTGGTTTTTTTTTGGGGGGGGGTCTTGGGACTGTGGCAGGCCTCATCAGGAGGCTGAGAGCTCAGGAAACTCAGATATGGCCTGAGGGTGGGTGGCCAGGGAGGGGCAGACAGCAGGCAGGAGCTGAGGTCCCTGAGAACTCAGGGAGACCCAGAGTGGAGCCAGAAAAAGGAATGACAGCTGGGAGGAGACAGGGTCCGCCAGTGCAGATGGGCATTGACCTTAAAAAGCCTTAGCCTCAGCCAGAGGCTGTGGCACACACCTGTAATCCCAGCACTGGAGGCTGAGGCAGAAGGATTGCAATTTCAGCCCTTGCTTGGACAGTTTAGCAACTTAGTTTGAAACCTTGCCTCAAAATGAAAAATGTTTTAAAAGGACTGGAGATATAGCTCAGTGCAAAGGCCCTGGGTTCAATTCCCAGTACCCCCACCCAAAAACTCCCCCCAAAGTCTCAGGTATGTGCACCTCAGGACCCACACAGCCAAGGGCATCCAGGGAGAGCAGCTGGGAGGTGTGCAGGTGGCCAGCAATGTAGGTGAAAGAAAACCCTCCTCCTCCAGTCTCCAGAAGGAGCCAGTGATGTAACTCAGGGAGCGCTCACAGAAGTTTCTAATAGGGTGAGGATGCAACAGCCTGGCTGATGTTTGAGATGCCACTGCAGATTCTGGCTTGCCAAAGCTGGCCCTGCGCCAGCCAGGCAACCTGCCCAGGGTCAGGAGGGACATCTGGGCTCCTGCTCAGGATCACCGCCTTCAGGTGGCACCTCTGCCCCCTCAGGCTGCAATGGCCAACCATTTCCCACTGCCACCAGGCAAGTTGTGAATTTGTGGGGATCCTGTGGTTGCCAGGAAGAAGAAAGGAGAAAAAGTGTGTGCAGGGAAGGGGATTCCTGCCCCTCCTGAAGGACCAATGAAGCCATAGACACTGGGTTTCTTTTTGGGGGGTTTTTTGAGACAAGGTCTTACTATGTCGTTGAGACTGACCTGGAACTCACTATGTAGCCCAGGCTGTTCTCAAACTCACAGCGACCCTCCTGCCTCAGCCTCCCAAGTTCTGGGATTACAGGTATGCACCATGCCCCATCAGCACAGGGTTTCTTAAACCAGGCCTCTATAGCCCCAGGCTCTGGGTTAGTCACCTGAACCACTAACTCTGCCAGAGACAGGACCACCTGGCAGAGGAAGTGATTTTTGTCTATTTTGCCTAGCCACAGAACTTCAGTTATTTTCTCTTTTAGTGCCTAGATTAACTCCCCATTGTTTGCATATTCCTCATTTTCACTATTTGGCATTGATTGTTCTAAAATGTGCCGGTGACATTCTGGTGAGATGAACTCGGTGACTTCTATAGTCTTAGAAGACTGACCAGCAGAGCCAAGGGCTGCATTATCTCACTAGCAGTATGCAGAGGCAGGATGGTCACTACTAAACTTGGAGGCCGGGGATAAGGTGCGAGGGAGGACAATGCAGGTGTAGTACTTGGGCTCCCATTTTTCCTCACCCAACTGTCCATGCCTTTGTCCTGTTGGGAAGCAGGGCCCGGAAGTTAAGTCTCATCTGTTTATTCCGGAATGCGGGTACCCGGATGTTCACTAGCACAGAGCGAATCGGACAACCTCGCGCGATGCGTTGTGAGTGGGCTGCCCGCGTTGTTTTTCCCCTGTAGTCCTCACCAGTGGGCCCGCAGAGCTTGCTGTGCAAATGGCTCTGGGAATATCCAGTCTTGGTCCCGACAGGGACGCTGAGATCCTGACTCCATCAGGCGGGCAGGAAACTTACCCCAAGTCAGAGTGGAAGAGGAAGGACGCACGGAGTCCGGCACATTTGTCCCGCTGCCTCAGGTAAAGCCACGTGCTTCTTCATTAGGCCCTGGTTAGTTTCCTTACCTTTAAAATGAGGTTAACTTTATCTTGGTTTTAATTTTATGGTTCTCTGGATTTAAATGCACGGAAGCCTCGGTATCTCTGAATTCACAAGCCCATCTATTGCTTCGCCCTGACGGCGTCACACAAGGTACTCAGCCCTGGGGTCGCTCGTGTGCAGACACTCCAGTGACCCTGTGCCCTGAGCAACGCTGCAGCCACCAAATCTCCGCCTTAATAAGTGGCACAAGTTCACTTTGAAACCTTCTTTCTGAAAACTGATGACTTCCTATAGACGGAAAAGAAGCTTCATGGGAGATAGTGGACAACAGGGCTTGAGAAGGCTGAGGCTGGGGGCATGGAAGGGGGAGCAGACAGGACTGAAGATGGATTGTGCCACACACACGTGGAACGCAAGCATCATGTGCAGCAGACATGTACTAACAAACTACAAAAATGGAGAATCAGGGCTGGGGATCTAGCTCAGTGGTTCTGCCCCATGCCTTCCAAGCGCAAGGTCCTGAGTTCAATCCCCAGTACCAAACAAACAAACAAGCAAAGTAGAATCAATTAAAAATTATTCTTGGGGGGGAAAAAACAACAACAAAATGAGCCTCAATTTTTTTTTCTTTTGTGGTTCTGAGAATGGAATCCAGGGCCCCATGCATGCCAGGCAGGTAATCTAAGAAACTGCACCCCTAGCCATCTGACTTTTGAAACATAGTCTCACTGAATTGCCCAGGTTGACCTCAAACTTTGAGTCCTCCTCCTCAGCCTCCCAAGTACTTGGGATTATGGGCCTGTGGGCACCATACCTGGCTAAGGTTGGATTCTTGCCGTTAACACTTTGCAGTTTGGAGGGGTAGCTCAGTGGCACAGCTTTGGCCTAGCTAGAGTAATGCCCTGGTTTCAAACCCCAGCATGAAAAAAGAGAGATTTTAGTTTAATGGGATGTGCACAGCTGATCAAACAGAAACACTAAAAAAGCCTCAACTCATGTAATCTCTGCACCACAGGGTCTCTAGAATTAAATGTATTCATAAATTAAATACATATGGTAGCTACTATAGAAAGCACCCATAGGCACAGATTTTTTTTTTCTTTCCTTTTTTTTTTTTTTTTTTTGTACGGGGGATCGAACTCAGGTCCTTGCGCTTGCAAGACAGATGCCGGAACCACTAAGCTAAATCCCCAGCCCTTCTTTCCTTTCTTCTTTCCTTACTTTCATTCTATTTT